GCAGAACCAGGCTCAGGGAGGGGCGGCCATCTGCTGCGACCGGTTGGGGTGAGAGAAGGAAAACAGGATAAAAGACATGCTGTGGAAGAGAGACAGATTAATAACAGATATGATTCAATGCAGAGAGGTCTATTAACACATTTATTTCATGCAGCTCATCATGGAATAACATTTTCTAGCGCAGAGAAGGAAATGTCATCATTCCATGCAGCATAAAGGAGACACGCATTTCAGGAACAGATGGTTATTGCATTACACCTGCAAAAACCATCTGTTTGAAAAGCACAAACGTGAGGACACAAAAGCACAGAGCAAAGTGCTAAATGAAAATAACTGTCAAAACACCTGCTGCAATACCTGTGCTGTTGCTTGAAGGAGGGGTTACAGCGGTGGGGTTGTTCTCCTGGTTGAACATATTAACCAAACGGCTGGGCTCAGCTTTCTTAGGTGGTGCCGGGGGAGTAGATATGTTCTGCCACAGTGCAATGAATGAAAACATTAGCGATATGGTGGCTGTATTTGTGAAACCAGTATGTTACTTTTCTCCTTTAAAAAAAAATTAAAATAAAATAAGAGATAAAAAATAATAATAAATGATTTTTTGTCAAAACATGCAGGTAGCAGCAGCAGCAGCCTCAGTAACAGCTAAACAAATGCCCAAGAATTACTACCCTAAGCAGTTAGAAAATGTCGGATCTAACAGACAAATGTTTATCATCCAACTACTCCACCAAGGCAAAAGTCGAGGTCTGCGATCACTGCCATTATCATTATGATATGTTTCTTAAGCAAGATTACATAAGTTGCCAAGGTAGAAAGGTGAAGTGTAGGCAGATGAGGAACCCATTAAACTCTGCGGCTGATCTGGATAATATTTTTTAAAATTGCAAAAACTGTCCTTGGAAGATACACTCTGTGAGTATCCTTATGATTTAGTCTGAACATAGAAAGATAAATACGATTAAATATTCAGTGTCAGCACGGTAGCCTCAGTATATAAGGTACTTCTATAACCTTGACATCAAAACATCCTACACCCTGGGAGCCCCATCACCAAGCATGGCATATTCATTGCAGAGGCTACCTGCATATATGAGTTATCAATTTTTTGATGTTTGTTTTTGTCCTGTTACTTTTCCCCATTTGACAGCAATGCTAAAAAAACAACAACCTTGTACATAACAGGTTAAATCTTGTCAAGATTGGTAAGCAGACCTACAGAGAAACACTTGGAAATCGTCTCTCTGAGGTAAGTTTCCATTACGTAGTAATGATATTTTATCTAAAAAGTACTAAAAAAAAAAAACATAGTACAGTATGAAAGACAGCAACACAAGTCTTAGGATTGTCACTTTGATCATACCACACTGTGTCGTGACGGGGACGGGGAGGGCAGTGGTGTGATGGGAACTGGCTTACGCAGCCCTTCAATCATTGACAAAACACTCTCGGGCATATTGGTGGCATCTTTGCACTGGTCCTGCCAGGTGCTCAGCTTTTCCGACAGTATGTCTCTGGCCTATCCAGCAGTCGTGGAAATAAGAAAAGATATTAAAAGACAACATGAGTAATCAGTAGAAGGAGTGCAACATTTCTATCACTATGGCAACGTGATACATTGAGGCTCTAGAGATTGTGGGTTTCGGAATAAATTCTTCTGGCTGAACCAGCAATATAATATGACTAGAGTTTGATTGATTCCAACATAATAAGAGCAGGACTTTGTCTACCTTGTCATGGAAGGAAGCGAACTGATAGGATAACATGCAGTGTTTGTCCACAAGGAAGCAGAAGCGCCTCTTCTCCTCCAGCAGAGCCTCCTTACAGCCATCGGCGACGAACAACTGCATGTCCATCTGTCGGCTTGCCAACGTTTCTAGACACTGCAAACATGCATGCAAGTGGACATTAAAAAACATGGACAACATTCAAATTGTTTTGTGTACAAATGCACATCTATGTAAACATAACTGAAAAGATGATAAGCTGTAAAACAGATCAGATTCAGCAGGTCTGAACTGTGTTGTGCCTTCCAAACAACCACCATGAATAAATCAAGGTCTTATCTCGCTATGCACATGGTTTACAGCCATTTAGACACAGTCATTGTTGAGCCACAAAGAAAAAAACCCAACAAGGGCAAAATGTATAAAAAGACCAGGGTTCCTTTGTCAATATTCTAATCTGTGTTGTGCAGAGGACAAGTATTATTAGTTTAGATCTTATTTTATTGACAGTCTGTGCTGTATTTGATGTTTAGTGAAAGGGCAGAACAGTAGGGAGGGCTGCATTATCTACACTGACAGTCTGGGATCATAAAAAGGTCAGAAAGCTACTGAAAGGATTTGATGTGTCCATGTGTCCATGTATGTGGGATCCATGCAAATGAACCAGATATTCAGATATTTAAAATATTCAGTTTCACTTTCACTACTCTAGTAAATGCTGATATCACTGAAATGTAATGAAGTGAACGGTGTTAGAACAACAATCTGAATGAAACGGCTTCTTTTAATATTGCCTTCATTTCCTGACTTCTTCATGCTCCTTTATTTAGCTCTTTTTTTTGGGGGGTGGGGTGGGGGGTCAGAATTTGTGGGAGCCATTTCTTATCCAACTGACTGGAAGTGTCACACCTCTAACGGCTGTTAATGCATTGCACACACCCTCTCTATTCAGCTCTTACAGCTCTGTCCTTGGTTGATAAATCCTCAAATGGCTGAAGGCTTTCTTTACCACAAACCTGTGCCAGGTACAGTGCATTTCTAATCCATGTTATTCCCAAAAACATTCTGCACGTAGAAAAGTGGTCACTATTTGGTAGCACCATATCAGTAAGTTAAAATGCACAATAACATGACCCCATAATTAAAAAAACAACAATACTGCTTATTT